TTTGGATTTTCCGTTTAGACACTAAACTACCTGTAGAAAATAATTAGAGCATTTTAAAGTGTTTTTAGAAGTCAAAAAGCTATGTAAAGTGCTATAAAATCGTCTGTATTTTTGAGGAATTATTGGGAAAAAACATAGGGAAACGTAAGTTACGGTAATCTATCTGTCTATCTCTCTCTCACGTTCTCTATCTCGTGCTCGTTCCCTCTTACTCACTCACTCACTCACTCCCTCTCTCTCTCTCTCTCTCTCTCTCTCTCTCTCTTTCTCGCACCCACTCCGTCTCTCTCGAGCTTTCTCTCACTCACTCTCACTCGCTCTCTGTCTGTCTTTCTATCTTTCTCGTTCATAAGTTCATAAACACATTCAAATCGAAGACGACTTCGAGCAGTCCGTTCTATCCGGTTAGATTCCGGTCCAAATTCCAGCGAACCCCGAATTCGTGAATTCCACTACCTTTTCCACGAATCACCGCTTTTACCGCCACTCAACCCCGAGGCCGTAAAAATGTTTATATTGACAGCCGTGATCCGTGACAGATCGAGACGGCAGCTAGGTCTTCTTTTTCCTCCCTTCCTTCGCTCCCTGATCCACTATAAGCCGATATTCAGGCCACTCCACCCTAAAAAAGAGGCGGAACTTATCAGTGGGGGATGTGACGTGCTGTTTCAGCTGGGAGAATGGCCTTTGTTAAGCCTGGAAGATGCAGAAGCGGAAGATTCGAGAGATATCGACACTTTCTGATGGCAACAATTTTATGATCTGGGGTCAATCTTCTAGGCTGCCCTTTCCTCAAGAATCCCCGCTCGCTTGCAATCCTCAAAGTATCTCTGCTAGCCTGCCTTTTCCTAAAGAATCTTTGCTAGCCTACCCTTTCCTAAAGAATCTCTGTTAGTCTGCCATTTCCTAAAGAATTTCTGCTAGCTTTTCCTGTCCTGAAGGGCCTCTGCTGGCTTGCCCTTTCCTCAAGAATCTCGGTTAGCAACCTTGTTTCGGGAAGAGTTGATGTCAGCTCGTGTTTTCCTCAAAAATCTCTGCTAGCCGGCTTTCTAGGTAAGCTACAAAGATTTTTTGAGAATTTTTAATGCTATTGTTCTCGCGTAAGAAGTTTATTCAGTGAGAAATTTGAGCCACGGTTTACCCTAACAAGGCCTCACCCCGGAATTCAGTACCCAGGAATTCGGAGCTAATCACCGAAGCGTGGCACCCACTATTCCAGCCAACAAGATAAAAGTTGCTACCGCGTTTTTTTGGAATGTGCTCATTGATTCGGCGATCAGAGCAGGGGAGCTGATTGCTGCCAAGTTAGTTCCTCAAAGATCCCTGCTAGCTTGCCTTATCTTTGTTTTGAGTTAATTTTTACGCATTGATTTTTTTACGTTTACCAAACATCTTAAAAACACACAGAAATTTGTAAAAAAGTGTTTTCGCGTTCTTCTATTTATTTCCTAAGATACTGTAATCGGTGTGCATATTTTAAGGTATGGATAATATTGAAATATGTTCGCTCTCAATGAGATTTTCTACATAGCGAGATGAATTACAGTATGCCAGAAAAATCTATAAAAAAGGATTCTAAAAACAATGGGTTTCACAAGTTTTTAACATTAACCACCGCCTGCCTACATGGTAATTCAGCCAGATGTCGGCTCATTTCCAAATCTTCCCTAATGACTCATTAGCATGGCCGCCCTAATTTTACAGCTCCTTCTGAAGAATTTGGGCAATTTTTTGCAGGCTGGACGCGCCGAGATGACGCCCACACACGCGCCTAGCCATTTTTATCAGCTGACTAATCGGGGCCGGCCCCGAAATGGTGACAATATTAGTTATTAGCTGCGGATTTTCGCGACTCCGCGACTTTCCGGAGCGATTCCGGGTTCACGTATTAAAGGGGCGGGAAAGACTGATTTTCCCAGCGCTTTTTCACGCTCGAAATGGCTCCCTTCTACGGTAATTTGGATTGGCCCGTTGCCAAAGATGAAATCTTTGCCAAAAGTCGAATTTTTGTCTTCCCTAACCCTTTAAAACTCAAAATCGATAAAGTAAGTTTTCTCGAATTTTCTATGGTAATTAATATTGGCAATTTGCGAAAATTATGAATCCATAAAATTTCTTCGCTTTCCGGTCCGTTTAAAAGCCAAAATCACAAAAATCTGGTACTTTTAAATTATCGGGGGAGGCTGAATTTTTTATGCAAGTCCATCTTCTTTAGTAATAGCATAAAATAATGTATACCACTTGCTATCTATATTGGAAGCATTAAATTCTATGGAAAAACTTGTCCCCCCAATAATGCCAAAGTCCCGAAAATCCTGTTCTAATGCTGATCGCGCAAATTTTGATCTACTGAATCTTTCGCCTTCGGGGCCCTTTAAAATCTATAGCAAGCAATACCTTGCCGGTTCCTTTAATGTTTTTTCGGTGTTTTTCAACCCCGAAAATTGGCAGCTTTCCAAGTGTTTCCAACCATTTTCAGACTTCCCAGTCCCTTGAAAACCCCCAAATCGCGCCAGCCGCCCCGCAAATTTTACTGCTTTTTTTGGCGCAACCCTAAAATGTGCCCTTTTCGGGGGAAGCAGCTGGCTCGTGGCGGCTTCTTGGCTTTTTGATCAGCCTGGAATTCCTCTTGGCTCCCTTTGCCGGGCTGCGATGAGCCATAATCGGCATTGTTCAAATGCCTTCTTCTGGGGAGCTTCTACGTATTCTGCCGGGTGCAAAAAGGGCAACACTAGGCCAATCAGATCGGAAAGGGAAGAACTTGCCACACCCTGCGACCCAGGCTGTAGGCTTCATTTTGGAGCTGCTGGACCTTTCTAAAATTCTTTAAGAGTTAGAATTGTACTTATCTAGAATATTTGACCTAGAATTAAAAATCGATAGTTAATTTTTAAGAGGCAGGTTTTGGTATTAATTTTCGAGCTACGTACATTTCGGCTGCCTAAAAGGCTTAGAATGAAACTAAATCAGGCACGCAACGCGACAGGCAACGCGACACGTTACATGTGACGCAACGCGAAACGTGACGCCGCCCGGACATACATTGCGCAAAGGACAGCGAACAAACAAAAAAACACTGGCCCGCGACACGCAGCGCACGCTCCCCCCAGTATATGTTGCGCGCTGTAGGACTACGCTTCAGACTACCCTGCTGATATTCAACAGCGGATTTCCGTTTTTCCCCATTTTGTGAATTTCTTCTAAGATGTCATACCTTATTCAATCTTATTTTCGCTCTCCCGACGAAGATCCCTCAACTCTTTGCTAATTCAATTCCTCACCCCCTTAGTCATCCCCTATATCGGTTTCTGCCAAATATTTTCCCTTTAAAAGCCTCGTGCAACGAATTATAGACAATGGGAAACAATGAAGGTATTACGGGGGCTTCTGCTATCTGGAAAACCGGTTCCGCCGGTCCGGAAATCTGTCGAATTTGGTTGCACCAACGTTTCGTCAATTCCCCAGATGATAAGTACTGCTTTTAGGACGGGTCGTCGCCTATCGGAAGCGTGGCAGAATTTTCTACGGGTACTGTAGGATATATTGGGTCGTATTTCAATGGTAAATAATTTTACTTTTTAATTTTTGAAGCTTGAATAAATCAGGTTATGTATTTTTTGTAGATTCAGACATTAATGGAATAGGTTTTGAGCCGTATTACCGTAATTTCCTTTGGTCTTAAGGACATAATTTTTTCTAGTTCGATTTCTGTTCCTTTCGAAAATTTTGTATACCATAAGCGACGCATTAATGATACATAGGGACGACCGTAATCCAATTTTCTTTGTTTTTCAAGTTTATTAATAAAGTTTACTTTAATTTTTTGTGTTTTCGATTCCCAAAAATTAATGAGCCTTTTTAGCTGCATTTTCCTAATTTTAAATCTTAAGAAATCTGTGTTTTCTTTATTTATCTGTTTTCGATGTATTACTGTCACTATTTATACCGTATTACCGTAAGCCAATTTTTTGCAGGTAGCAAAAACCTATCGGGGTGCCCCTCGAGATGCGGTACCAGCTCGTCCTCCTTGCCGTTGTGGCGGCCATCGCAAGTGCTAAGGTGAGGAAAGGGAGCTAGCAGAGATTCTTTAGGAACGGAAGGCTAGCCGAGGTTCTTTGGGAAAAGGCATGCTAGCAGAGATTCTTTGCAAAGGGCAGGCTAGCGAAGATTCTTTAGGAGAGGCCCTTTAGCAGAGTTCCTTGGGAGAGCAGGCTAGCAGAGCCTCTTTAGGAAAAGGCATGCTAGCAGGGATACTTTAGGATAAGTAAGCCATCCGAGATTCTTTAAGACGGGGTAGCTAGCCGAGTTTCTTTAGGAAAGAAAGCTACCAGTTTTCTTTTCCGTTTTCTAACTCGAGAACGGACCCAGCGTTCCGAACTTTGCCCTCTTTACCCCCTTCAGCCCTTTTTCAAGGGTAAGCTCACCTCGAGTCCACCTAAAAACGTGATAACGGCATGAAAAGGGGGTGCGAACGCTTTTTATGCGTTCGCGTAAGCCGATTTGTGGCCCCCTCCATTGTCTCCTCGTTTTTATGGGAACCTGCTGGGAAAGTGGGAATTTGGTGGGGTTCACGAAATTTTGCGGGAATGGAGAAAAACTTTAAGGGGACGAGGTTATAGTTCTTAGGGTACGTTACAGTACGCGACAACGCTTGACCATACTTTACAGTACGCAACAGAGCGTAGAGTACGTGATAGTTCTTAATACATTATGGATTTAACACGACTAATACGACTTAACACATTGCAATACATTACGCTAACGGTGCGGAACGTACGTTAGAGTACGATACTGTACGTTAGAGTACGGTGGATTAGCGTATTGCATAGTGCGTTAGGACTTTGCAGCCCCCAGTAGTACGGTTGAGTACGATACAGTACGGTACAGTACGTTTTAGTACGGTAGGATGCGTCGAAGAACGATAAAGTATGGAGGATAAAGTATTTAGTTTATGCGTTTTTTTCAGACTCTCGGCAAATCCCGGCACGGCCGATCGCCAGATGAATTCGAAAAGTAGGTTTCGACGTGTTTATTGTGTTACCTTTTAAACATTTTTGCACGAGCTAACTTTTGAGCATGAGCATACCGCATTCTAATCACGTTTTTCTGAGCACATTTGCATGCGGCATGTGGTCCTTTCAGCTATCTGGAGCCGGTAGATGACGTCGGGAATCAGAATGGGATGGAGGTGGTCGACATGGACGGCGACAATCCAACGAGGTTCCACCACACCGAGTGCGCCTTTCATATATTTATGCACTAACGAAAAACACCATATTGGCATGCTTTGGGCACGTTTTTTACTGTGACTTTCTTACCGTAATCCACCAAACACTGAAACACTTTAATTTGCCGTTTCTATCGTCTGGTTGGTTAAAAAACCCAATGAATTCGCCAACGATTAACGTGGATTGTTCGAAGCTAAAAACCCACCAAATATTTACATATTTATTGTTTTTGGCATCTTGTAAAACGGCGTTTAGGTGCGGAACAGTCTTGAAAGAGATTGCCCTCCTCCAACCCGTCAATTCGGCCCGCGGCGAGTACATTCTGAAGCGCATCCTCATCGAGGTCAGTATGAGCTTATTTATTTGGATTTTACAGTTGCCAATTTGGCTTGCCAGTCCCTTTAAAATGGCTATCAATTCCAGAAAGACACCGGAAAGCCAGCTACCGGCCCATGCGTCGATGCCCTGCAAGACACGTTGGACAAGGAGGACGCCCTCAAGCCGTCTTTCATCATGAAGTTTGTAGTTTGAGGTTTAAGGGGTTTTTACAGTAAAATAACTGAACTTTTCATTCGTTGATTAAGTTACTACTTATACGCGATTTCTAGGCGCCGTAGCATGGGTGGCGTCGACCCGCAGCGCCAGCCGCTTCCGGAACTTCCGGTTGAGCCCGAGCAGCCCGTTAACCCGATCGTCTACTCCCCGCCGGTCAACCACCACCATAACCCGCATCATCAACATCAACTGCCACCTGTTGATGACGTTGATAGGGTAGGTTTATGATTTTATAACCTTTTTGTACAGATTTCAGTTGTTTAGAGCTTGAAAAGCTATTAAAAAACATAAAAACAATTATAAATCGTTAATAAACATATAAAAGATGATTCTATATAACGCCTATTAAATTAGAACATGACCTTTGTCGACTACGACTCGCAATTCACCGACGGCGAACTGCAACAGCTGGTAAAGCGAGTGTTAGCATGCGCGCGTTGTTTTGCATGAATTCATAACCTTCTAAATTGTTGTGGTGGTGTAACTATACTTTATTTTAAGTTCTAGACGTCTATATTACTTTTATATAACGTTATCATATTATTTTAGTCTGCCCCGCGCCGCCCGTGGGGTCTCGAGGCGCCATCTGTGCAGCAGCTGAACGGTCCCGCCTACAGGAATGGACGCCGCAACAAGTGCTCCTACAATCGCCCAGTACAACCTGTTCTCAACCCGGTAAGCGAGAGAGAGAGAGAGAGAGAGAGCAAGAGGGAGAGAGAGAGATTACCGTAACTTACGATAAACTTCAGGAAATCCGCCCCAACCGCCGAGTATGCCGCCGCCGTGACCTGCCCCCAGCGCCCCCGGCCCCGCTCCCGTTCTGCAACACCGAGAAGCCGTGGCTGAACACCGCCCCCTGCATCAATCCACCCACCACGGTAGGGTTGAGCCACAACAGCTTTTTCACACAAAATCCAACGAGCTCAGGAGGGCTGAAAATACCAATTTTTCTGCAAAAATATAATTTTCCTTTTTTTGGATCTGTTTGGAGAGTTCTAAATGGCTAAACTTTTTAAAATTCCCCTTTTAGCAAGCCACCTACTCCGAGGTAGTCCAGCTTCCGGTCGAAATCGCCCCGCCACCCCCGCTCGTCTATCCCCGATCCGCCCCCCGGAAGTGCAAGAACAGCAAGGTCTCGCCGCTACCGATTGGACGAAGGTGGGAAATGCTTAATTAATGCAAAAAAGCATTTTTCTTTGTATTGTTCTACAAACGAACCCCCGAAAAAAGGAATTGGCTGGTAGCACACATGGTTAGAGTGCATAAAGTACCTAGTCGTAGCCGACGAGATGCTCCTCTAGACAAGTGAAAAATTCATCAAAAAAAATTACGGATTTTCTTTCTATTTCATGGACAAAAAGACGATAAAATCAAGAAAAACGACTTCCGCGTAAAAACTACGTTCGGAAAGTGTCAAAAGTAGCGCATCGTAGCCAACGGTACGCTCCTCTGGTCACACGCGTAACCGTCCGGTTTTCCATTATTTTCTTTCAGGGGCCCAAAAGTACCAAAGCGCGCGGGGATGTTTGGCATTTGGCAAAAACGCCATTTTGAGTGGGCGGCGATTACATGTCGTAATGCCTTGTAAGGCGCCCAATCCCTCGATCTCGGTGATTCTCTGGTCAATCTTATTCTGTCATGATCATTTGTATTAAAATAGGATCAAATCTGATTCGGGAAAAAAGGGGGAAAAGATCATGGGCGCGGGGTGGGCCGCATCTGGCTACCGGGAACCAAAAAGGGGGGGGGACCAGATTCGAGCCCTTATTAAAAATACATTTAAAAACTAGATAAAATACTAATGATTACTTTTAGGTGCAAATCCCGGGGGTCGCAGCACCGTCTTCAGCCCTTGCCACCGAGCCAAGACTTCAGCGGCCCACGCTATGAAGTGAACGGAAATGGACAGGTAGGCTAGCAGAGATTCTTTAGGAAATCTTGCGAGAAGCCGGGGAAAATCGTAGTTATGTAAAAACCACGTTTTAGGATTCATCCCTCGACCTCCAGCAACCATACGAATTCAGCTATGAGGACCGTAAGGTTGGAGATTAAAAAATTCGTTTTAACGATTTATTTTCGATAATTTATGATTTATCAACTACAAACCATAAACAATCTATGTTTTAACATATATTTTAGGCAATTTGCTAATTCTAAACCCTAAAATAAACAATTTACGTTTTTCTATATATTTTAATGTCTAAAAACCAAAACTAAATCTTTACAATGCTAAAAAAGTTGCTCTAAATAAGTAATAAACTCTTTTCAGAAGCGCGAGCCCATCCCAGCCCTTCCGGTCTACCGATTGTAGAGCTTTACGGCCAAACACCAACGATTTTCCCCTTGAAATCTTCACTTTCCCCGTTCGGCTTTCAGCGGCGACGATTATTTTAGCTTCTAAAATTCGCTAATAAAAAGAAATATAAGCTTTAGCCCATCGTCGCGCATTCCCCCGCCCTTGCCATTACCAAAATTGAGTGCAATTAATTCATCACGAAGCCCCTAAAAGTGTATATAACCCATTTTAAACGTTTTATTCCCGAAAAATCCTCCTCTAAAAACTGCCTCCATGCACGATAGGCGCCCTTTCAATTTGTGTTCTTGATGAACTGATACTTTTAATATGAAAAGTGAAATAAATGAAATGCAATAAAGATTTATATTGAGCAACAAGGTATGAAATATCACAATTCGAAGAGAGAAAACACTCAAAAGGTCGGGCGGATGCCCATAAAAAGGGTGGTGTTGCAGAACTTCTCGCGGATGCACGGGAACGTCGTCTCGAAGTGGAGCTCTTCCTAAAAACAAAATAGAATGAAATTAATAAAACTATACCCCGGAAATTGACTTGAAAACCCGGCCATTTTCGTAGGTGACTTCCTCAACGACGGTCAGGCGGTTGCGGCCTAAAATGAAGCTTTGCTTCTTTGAAAAAGCAACTTTTTTCAAAATTTTCTGTATAAACGGTTCAATCGTTTACACGGTTATTTTGCTGTTAATCAACGTGAAACTCATGCAAAATTTTATTAAGAATACAAAAAAACCTGGATTTTCGACCAAAAATTCCTTTTTTCGAAACATTTTTCCCTAGTTCTCGTAAAAGTGCACTTGAAAGATTAGCTAAATTGTATCAATATGCTGTTTTTGCGAAAACAGCGTTTTTAAATCGATAGAACTCCTAAAAACTAACCCAATTCCGTGACGAATTCCTGTATCGTTTCCGGTACCCGAATCGTTGAGGCTATGATGGCAAAAGCAGATGGAGATGCTTGAAAACAGGCGACCAGCGTCTCGCAAAGCGGCTTGAAAAGTGATGGGTCGTAGAGTACATCTAAAGATATTAATTAATACACGAAAAATTACAAACCAGAAGCTATAATGACATCCGGAGCGTAGCTCTGCAAAAATGATCGGTCGTCTTTATCTTCCCAATCCAGGGAGCGGGTTTGGGCGTTTTTTAACTAAAAATAGCAGGAAAGAAGTGTCTATGGGAGTGTAAAGTACCCGATTCCGCTGAACGTTTGCTTCCAGGCGCTCTAGAACGTCATTGTGGTAGTCGGTGAGCAAAATATTCGCCTGGGACCTTGATTTGGCGATGGAAAGCCCTGGAAAATGCCTTTAGATCTCAATACGAAGTCGTTTAAAAATTTGTAACTATAAACAATTAAAAAAGCCTTTCAACTTCATAAACAATCCATTTAAAACTTATTTACGATTTTATAAGCTATTGAAAAATTATATAATCGTTTTAAAAAATACCGGCCAACCCGCATCCGGCGCCCAGCTCCAAAATGTTGCCCGATAACTGTAGTAGCGAAGCGAAATACGCGAGATCGTGAGCGGCCTAGAACGAATTTTTATTTTTAAAGCTAATTTAAAAACCTACCGGCCAAGTCTTCAGCCCAGTCGTCCCATTTCTGATGTGAACATTTTCTTCTTGAATTTGCAGAAATTCCGTAGACTCCGGATACCCGGAAATCGATTTTTGGAGCTCCGGAAATGTCGTGAGGCTCGGGAAAAATGTCTAAAAACACACTGATTACCTTTTTAAAAGATCCCATACTTTTATGAAGCTCCTGGCGATATTTTTTGCCTCAAAAACGCCTGAATAACAAGCGTCAGGGAGCGTGAGGTCAAGCTAAAAAGCTTTACTAAGCTGGTTAAAGCAATAAAACCCACTTCAACGGCCTTTTCGAGGATTCGCTTCAGCGTTGGCCCGTGAAATGACGGGTGCTTCTCGAGTTCCATATAATCTAGACGAAAATTTTGGAAGGTAGCTCCGATTTTACCGTTTATCAGCCGGCATATCCGTTCGAAATTGCCCTCAGAATCGAGCACATTTTCATAAACCTCGTCCGGAATTGCGGCGCCTGACAATAAGCATCTCGCAAAGCGTAGACACCGGTCCTAAAAGACAATATTCAACTCCTGTAACGTTACGTACCTCTTGCTCATGCTTCTGTGAAGCCGAAGCCGTGAGGAGTGCTGGAAACTGAAGTAATTAATAAAAGGTAGCTACAACAAACTTACTATCCGAAAATCCATTGTAAAATCGATTTATTACCCCTTGAAAGTATAAAAAAGCACTTTTTAGATATTCAGTTACAACAGGAAATTCAGCGTACAGAGGACGGCGGCGTACTCCCCTGTAAAATTGCTCGAAGTATTAAAAAAAACTAAAAAAATGTTTTAAAAATCAAAATTGAGTCGCACTAAATTGGAATTGACGAAGATAAATTGCAAATGTCGTTATTTACTAGTAATTAGTTCTTAAAAGCTATTGAAGAAAGTTTTGAGCACGATTTATCGGTTTGAAATTCATAAAATTAAAAAAAATATCACAATCGATCAATCAATCAAAATGGTAATAAACTAGTGGCTTGTTCATTCTCTTTTCAGCTTGGCAAGTCGGGCGAGATTCGTTTTGCGCTGCTCGAGGGCGGAGGGATGGTCTGGCACGCTGGTGCGCATGCTCAGCGAGATCTAAAATAGTTTTTCCATTGATTTTTAATCATTTAAAGTTTTTCTTTTCATTTTTAAAACTGTTTATATTGTTTCAGACATGAAAACGCAGGTTTTCCTACTTTTTCGATCACTTCTGGCTCTTCAAAGCTGGGAGTCGGGCCCATATCCGCCAGGACACGGCGGATTCCGGCTGCATAACGGTTGCAGTAGTCTTCGACACCTAGATAAAGTTTCAATAGGTATATTAATAAGCGTTTAAATAGTTTTAGTTCTAGTTGTTTGAATTTTTATACCTAACGCGTTTAGATGAATCGTTTGTAGGGGTCCCTGGAAGGCGTAGCGAGGTCCTAGTCCCTCGCTCATTACCTAAAACGCATAGAGGTATGCGAATGGGCTTGGGGCTAGGCTTAGGCTTGGCTTAGTCTTAGGCTTGGGTTCAGTCTTTAGCTTTTCCTACCTTATCTACATCTTCCGGGTCCAATACCCCGTCTTTCACTAGTCGCCAAGCTTCAGCGAGCAAGGCATATTGAAGTCGATTCACAGCAAAGCCGAGCACTTCTCGATTCAGACGAACGGGGGTCTAAAGAAAAAGTTTAATAGTTGTTTGCTAAAACGTGACCCTCACCTGGCCAATGTCCTTCATCAGCTCTACCGTCTTTGCGACGCTGATCTCGTCTGTCCAGGGAGCTGGAACCACCTCCGTCAAGCTGAGGTATAGTGGCGGGTTGACGGGATGGACGACAAGGCAGCGGCTTCTGAAAAAAAGAGGTTTTTGTCGAGAGATAGAGAGAGAGAGAGAGAGAGAGAGAGAGAGAGACAGCGAGAGCTACCGATTCTTGAGCGTCTCCGTGAAGGTCGATGCGGGAATGGTAGATGTACTGCTTGCCAGAATCGTTTCCGGTCCGGCGATGGCATCCATTTTGGAGAAGATATCTTTTTTGAAGGTTTCGCTCTCCATTGTGGATTCCTAAAGGGGTTCTGAAGACTTCTGCAGCTTTTTGTCTTATCAACGCATCAATGATTACTAGCCTTTTTGCTATTACTACTGCTTAATGTCATAATTTACTGATTTACTTTATCCTACTTATTACGGACTTACCTGTACATAAATTGCGCCATGTAGCGCCTCGGCCAAATCGACCGTTCTCGTGACCTGGGCCATAGCTTCTTCAATCGTATACTTACCCCGGCTAAGTTGCTCTTTCTGAAAAATTTGGTTTAATTTGCGCAATGAATTAAATTTAAGTTAATTATCAGATCTTTAAATAATAAAATAAATAAAAAAATAGATATAATTTTACTTGATAAAACGCTTAATTTTATTCTTTAAGGAACATTTAAGGATAACAGACCTGCATAGTATTGAGATTCCCGCGTATCCGTCCAACACCCGCTTGGGCCAATGAGTCGTTGATCTCATAGACCGCTACCGAGTACCCGGCCGAGGCGAACATGGCGCCCCAGCAGGAGCCGATCAACCCGCTGAAAAATATTTAAATTCGCCGCCCTTTGTTAACCAGGATATTGATCCGAACGGCTCTAAAAAAGCTTAATTTGCCGAATCCTGGTTTTAATCAGAAAATTGTTAAATTTTCAAAAAAACTTAAAGGGATGCCGACGGCATAGTCAATCGATTACGCGCGGAAAAGAAAATGTCTCTGCGCCTCTCCCCAGGGCGCGCTCTCTCCCCTGTTGGCTACTTGCCAATTTGTTGATGAGGGGGGATCGACACATGCCGTCGGCAGCCCTTTAAGCAAAAATATTCAAGGCTACGCCTTCAAGATGAAAATTAGGCACTCTTGAAATTGAGATTTATACAATTTTGGAATTATTCGTTTCGGAATGGTAAAATTTTGCATTTCTTGGTTTTAGCCTAGCGTAGCCATTTTCGATGCGTATTATTATTCAAATTCAAGCTTTAAAGGCAATAATATGCGCTTATACTCAATTTTCATGGTCTTTGGGGGGGTTTTATCTGGCCTCTTCGAACTTTATGCAAAATACGGGTTGCAGATCTGCTTGAAATCTTCGTTTGTAGGGACCTACCACCCAACAATGGCCACTTTCCCTTTCGTTTCGCTCATTTCCGGCTCTTCTCGGATCCTTGAAGAAAATATCATAAAAATCAAGAAAATCCGGCAAGGAAGACACCGATTAAAAATGACATAATATTTGGGGGAACGGTTGGAACGGTTTTTCGGAAGAGAGGGCCGGACAGAAAGGCGTCACCCCCCCTGGCCACTTTTATCAAGTGTTCCGAGAAAAGCCGTAAAATTGGGAAGGGACAGGCAGGCAATATTTGGCACTACGATTCGACAGTGGCTGCTGGTGGGCTAAAAATAGGATGCTTGTGAGTTGGCGAAAACTATAAAGATATGAAGGCTTGGGCTCTCGCTCTCTCGCTCTCTCTCTCCCTCTCTCTCTCCCTCTCTCTCTCTCTCGCTATCACTCTGTTTAAAATTCCAGAAGCTACGCTGAATTCCAGCCAAGCACAAATGACGGAAAGTTACTGGCGCCATCCCTTTAAAATTAGCAGGAAACAGGCTAGCTTGCAGAGATTATTTGGGAAATTCGAGAGACAGGGAGAGCGGGAGAGAGAAAGAGAAAGAGAAGAGAGAGAGAGCGAGAGAACGAGAGTCAGTGAGAGTGAGCGCGAGATAAAAAGAGCGGGAGGGTGAGAGCGAGAGAGCGAGAGTTAGGGAGAGAGTGAGAGAGATAGTATAATTTTCATGAGTTAACTAATGAAAACCACACAATCAGCACCCGAAAAACCGGTGAAATACGACAAATTCCATGACAGAAAACAATAGCAAAGTATGGAGAGAATCCATGGGTTGTCTCCTCGACTTCCTGGGGTGTTTTCTCTCCCCTTTCCTTCCTTCCTTCCCTTTCTTTTCTCGTTTTTGATTCCCTGCCCCTTTTTGGGGGATTGCACATTGATATCGGTCACGAGGCCGGCCCATCCCTGGAAGCAACGATCAGCAGATGCCCTCCGGCGTTGTTAGGTAGAGATCGATTTGGGGAGTTGAAAAGACTAAAGATCAAAGACGTTAATTGGGCTTGTCGGCGCATTAATAGTAGACCAATTTCCGGATTTCCCAAACGATCTCTGCTAGCGTGCAAAAGACGTTGGTACTGAACTGGACGCGGAGGGGGGGAAGCACCTAGTTCCCGAAAAACTAGTTTTTCCACCTATTAAACATATAAAGCGTATGTAGTGTCTTTTTATATTATTCTTTAGTAGTTTTTGATTGCTAAAAAGGCTTAAAACGGCTGTACATTTTTGCAAATTTAAAATTTTGAAACTTTCGAAATCTAGAAGTGTTTGCATGCGGCTGTTAGATAAAAAATGCGGAATAATGCTATAAAATGGTTTAAATTCCGTTGTGGGGCTCACTTTCACGTCATAATCGATTATATAGAGGTGAAGAAAATAAAAATCTATAAAACGTATGATTGATTGATTTTTGGACTGCTAACGAGTTCTAGCGCGTTTTTTTTTTTGAAAAAACCTCAGAAACCCTATTTCAAAAGAAAACCCAAACAATTGATTTTTCTAAAATAGCACAAATTCTTCTAAAAAATAGAATGTCTATTTTCGCTCGGCGCTGCCAAAACAAGAAGCGTCTGCCTCACTGACTCATCGTTAGGGAAAAGCCCCGGAATGGGATGAATGATGGTGAAGGGAAATATAGACAAATTCTACAGATTTTGATAGATGGATAGTAGTAATAAATCAAATAGTGATAAATTTATTTAAAACACAAGCTAATGCTTTAAAGTTTTTGAAAAAATCTCTTAAAATTTCGTTGTTTTAACGATTTCTTAAGCTTAAAAAGCGTTTATTTTAACAGAATTAACGTTGTAAATGAAGATCGAGTCACTAATTTCTTTTTGTGTATAATAAACAAGATTTTTGAGGTATAAACCTGAAAATCCTGAAGAAAATCACGATTTTGACGGTTACTGGTGTTTTAATTTGTTTCTAAACAGCAGAAGTTGACTATTCTTGGTTCTAATCTACAAAACCAGCTTCTAAAAGGCTATCAGACTATTCTATGTGATTTTTGGAGCCTTTTTTAGCATTGCAAAACTTTTGGAAGCGTCGATTTTTGATTGACAGGTGTCGAAGGAGGCTTCGGAAGTGAGAAAAATCCAGCTAATGTATACTAAAAAGCATACCACATTTCCTTCAGTTTTCTGACGATTTTTACAAAAATATCCACGAAATTCTGCGCACCCCCGGGCTTTTCCCCCGCTTCACCGTATTTGTCAACTCGGACCGCCGGCGGGCCTGTGCCAAATTGTCCCTTTTGGGCGGCGCCTACGCCCCCACCCCACATCAGCCCTCCCCGTCGGCCCCCTCCTCGGTGAGCAGGTGGCCGAGTGGTTAAGGCGTTGGACTGCTAATCCAATGGGATTTTCCCGCGTGAGTTCGAATCTCATCCTGCTCGAATCTTTTGCTTTTTGGGACTGGGTCGGTATGGTGTAGGTATCTGGCCCTGGTAACCAGGATGAAGCTTTATTTTTTGAAAAAATGGCTTTAGTGCTTTAAAAATCGCTTTGCATAATCATTTCTAGTGGTTATAACCTTTATTGTTCATTTATTGCTTCGCTTTCAGCTTTGCGTAGCGTTTCTTGAGTAGGGCAGCGATCACTCGCTTTCGGAAAGCAGCTCTAAATAACTTTTTAATTATTTTGGAGGTTTCCTTACCTATCCTCCAGGTTCTTAGCAGCCGGATTGACTTCAGGAGTTTCTGGCAGGTTCACGATACTAAATATGGAAATTTTTTACAAAAACCGGGCCCAAAAATACCCATAATTATCCTGGGTGACCAGAAGTTGATGGTAGTGTTGGGGTTCGGCAGCCGGATGGGACACGGCCGGAATGTCGTTTGGTGGAAAGTCCGCACCATACTGGTTACGATATTAGGCCGCTTTTAGGTTCAAAACGTACCTCTTTGACTTCTAGGACTTGTTGCTGGCCTTTGGGCGGGCAGGGACAATATTCGGCATCGTTTCCGGGGCCTCCGACACGTCCCGGCTGGAAAATTGGTCTTTTTTGGAGTCTAAGGGGCTTGCGAAGGCAATAAGGCAAGCTAGCAGCGATCGGTTAGGAAAAAAACCCTCCATAAACTTACCAGTCCACGATTCCCGGGTGTTCCATTGAAACCGCGCTTCCCGGGAGGTCCCAGTGGCCCAACAGGCCCTGGAGGACCAAGCGGCCCAGGTTGGCCTGACGACCCTGGTGGGCCCCTAGGCCCCAGGGGCCCTGGTGCCCCCTGAGGCCCGGGAAGCCCGACCATGACCATCTGATTTCGGCCTTTCTCTCCAGGCTTCCCGTTAGAGCCGTCATTGCCAGGTGGGCCCTCATCACCGGGAGGTCCTAAAAATAGATTTTGCCGTGATTTCTTGGATAGAATTGCGAGAAATAGTTGAATAAGGCGCATGAACGCATCGCTGATGCATTCTCGGTGCATCGCTTGAATCACCTACCGCATTCTCCAGGCAACCCGCGTCGCCCAGGTCGCCCTCGACGCCCAGCTTCTCCGTCAAGTCCCTAAACAACCGGAAGTGAAAAAAGACTCTCTGGTATCGCTCTGTCTCTCTCTGTCTCTCTCTCTCTCTGTCTATCTCCCTCTCTTGCTCTCTCTCCTCTCACATACCGGTGGTCCGGGTGGTCCAAGCGCTCCGGGACCACCAGGAGGCCCCGCTGGGCATACGATACATCCGGGAGTCTCATACGGCTGCCCCACAGGGATCGAGATTCCATCGGCACCCGGCCGACCGGGGCTACCAGGAAAGCCGAGGTCTACAAGAAGGTGATTTTCTCGCAAAAAACAGATTTGTACAGAATTGAGAAGAAACGAGGTTTAGCCTTACATAAAAACTACAAAAAATGTCTGTATTTTACAACAAAATGAGTCTAACCTTTAGCTTAGCAAAAACCATACCTCCCACGTCTCCCGGCTCGCCTGGAGGCCCTGGTGGCCCCGGTGGGCATCCGCTGGCTTGAGGGCCACAATCTTAAGGTTTTAAATTACTTTAATTATGTTAAAAAACGTTTAAAACCTTTGGAATTATCCTAAAAACCAACTACACTGTTGACCACCATCAAATTGGAGCAGGTTCTCGTCGACGCCCTCATTTCCGGTGTCGCCATCGAATTCCGGCTAGGAAGTTTGTATAAAACGTCTTGGAAATATTTCAAATTGAAAATTTAGGAGTTTTTGCATAGTTTAAAAATAAACTGGCTTGTATACGGAGACGGTATTCACGCAATTTTTGAAAATCTAGATTTTTTTTCTTATACAGCTCATATGCAAATTAGTCCGAGTCTGACCCCACCTGGCCGTATTGCTTCCGAATTCTTCTCCTGGCTTCGAGCTGCATCCCGAGGATTCGATGGGTGTAGGTTGAACGGGCGGTCCGAGGCGCCAGCTCCTGCATGTCATCCCAGGCCATTTTTGAGAGCCTCTGTATGCAAATTAGGTTTCAGAGCCGAAGATCGACAGTCAAATGCCGCCATTAGGATGCCTAGACGCAAAATGCCGAGAGTGGTACTACCGGCACCGCAAATGCCGACATAGAAAATGCCGATAAGGCAATGTACCAACATCCAAAATACCGACAATTATAATACAGATAGGATCACATTTCGGAAGAATTGAAAATGCCGTCGGGCCGAAATGCCGACATACATAATTCCGATTAGCTAAAATGCCGACAATAAAACACATCTCAACTTCTTGGTATTTAGACTGTCAGCATTTTCTGTTGAAACATTTAGATTCCAATCGTTTTTCGGTACTTTGTTTGTCGGGATTCTGGCTGTTACTCGAAAAAAGCTTCAGAGGGCGTAGCTGACCTTAAACTCCTCGACGTCGGCCATGCTATCATGGAATACAGTTTGTAGATCGAGGAACACTCTTCCCAGATAGAAAATCGAGACTGCCAACACGAAGGAGGAGCCGATCAGGGATAAGGTAGCGGCCAGACGGATGCCTTTTAGGGAGGGGTGGCCCATCTGAAATGGAGAGAAAGAGAGAGAGAGAGAGATAGACAGAGAGAGAGAATCGGCTGGAGATATAGAAATTTAACATGACTTTAACTGAAGCCATCCTTCAATAAACAGAGGTCAGTGGACCCTTAAGGAAAGCGCTAGGGAAGCCAATTTATAGAAAGCGACACTGTCTGCCTTCTCTCTCTCTCTCTTTCTCTCTCTCGCTCTCTCTCCCGCTACAGACGGAAAATGGAGAAGGATACCTTTCAAGTGCTTTGATGTCCAACCATCCTTCTTCCCTCCCCCCTAAGGGTCTATTGCCACTTGTAGCAGATCCACAACAGGTAATTGGGCGAGTCACGGTTCGGGAGAGAGAGAGAGAGAGAGAGAGAGAGAGAGAGAGAGAGAGAGCGAGTGAGCAACGACTTTTGCAAAATCGAATTTTTCGAATAATCCCCGGTGCACACATAATGGAGCACCAGCCTCCCTTCCTTTTATTTGTTCCTCGTCGTGCTCACAAATCTGGTTTCCCGCGACTGCGTGTCCTTGTATGTAGATTTACATACTATCGGTTCTTTGGCATTATCGGGGGCATCCGAGTTTTTTTGTTAATTCAGAAATACCTTGGCAAGTTTTAATATTTTTTTTAACTTAAATTTAGCTATATTTAAGGTGGTAAACTGGCTAAAACACTTGGAAAATAATGAAATGTCGAAAATTTGTCATTTGTAGTGGAAAATCGACTTTTTTGTGTTTTTCAATAAAAATAGGAAAAATGTGGTTTATACGTTTTAATTCACATCAGCTTCCTTTATTTTTTTCACTTTTTTATTTGCAATTTACATAAATTTCCAACGAATTTATACTAGCCACACAAAAATCAAAACAAGTATAGCCATAATCTCTCTTTTATCTAGCAAAAAAAAATAGAAAAAACATGGAAATAAGACACGTTTCGGGACACGAAATAGGAGCATACTGTAGATACAGAGCACCGTATACAGTATACGATAACTACGGCATTACGGTAAATATCCAAATAGCAAAATATCGGCACAGGTCGGGGCGTAGAAAATTAAAAAAACACAAAAACACGAAAATCACCAGGTGTACATCCAGAAATTCTAAAATTTGCATAGGAGGCTAAAATTTTACAAATTGAGCTGGATACAGTATCCGGGAGGAAAATAGAAATTTTAGGAAATGGGCGCTGTGCGTAGGTACATTGGGGGCATTTTAAAGGACCGTTGAAGACAGATTTTCGGTTTTTTTAGAAATATTTTGTGAATATTACTGGAGATTGTTAAAAATTAAAGATTTGCGAACTTGATTTGCATAAAACCACTTCAAAACTTGTGTAAAATGCAAAAAATAGTTTTTAAAGGACCATTGAAGTCAGGCTTTCTTCATGTTTTTGGTAGATTTTGACCAAATAAGTTTGTAATGCCTAATTAGCATAAAATTACTTTAGCGGTCCTCTAAAGGAAAAAATCATGCATTTTTAAGAGCCAGATTTTCTGGCTTTTTTTGAAGAAATATTGTGTGAATCTTACTGTCGTTTTCAAGGCCCTAATTTGCATAAAAATAGCTTCATCGACTCTGTAAAGTCGCGAAATGGCTTTTCAAGGGACCAGGAAGTCATCGGAAATCCCGAAAAATTCCGAAAATCCAAAGCCTAAAAAAATTCAGTTTTGAATAGTAACGAATTTTTGAACTATCATTGGTGCGTAGACGGGCGAAGAAAATACAAAAATGGCATACAAAAATGACAAATACAAAGTACACTAGTACCGCGAAAAAATCTAAATTTTCACCCGTAACTCTTGAGCGCTTCCTCCAGCGACGCGTACGCTTCATCACCAAGCTTCAGTGTCCTCGTACGGCGCACTAAAAAGGATTAATTAAATTTTTCGTACTGTAACCACAATAGTTATTCCAATACTACAATAATTAGGCAAATTATACAGTTTTTTCTGGGTTAGACGCACGCCAAAAACTTTACAAAATTAGTAAAGAGTCCGTTGAAACCGAAAATGGTCCGGGGCACTCCAAAAAACGAGACAAAATATCAAACTCTCGATTATTTAAGACCAAATTAAAAATATATCGATCGAAACCAAGGACAGGCCAGAAACCACGGTTATCGTAATTTTATCAAGTAACCTTTTCTCAGAGATTTCCGCACGGCTACTACAAACGGCCGACTGAAAATTGGAGCGTTCCGGAAAGATCTTGAAATCGTGATAAAGTCCCTATTTTTATATTTGTCATTTTTAGGTTGAAAATTTCCAAGGAATACTCTATCGTTCGTAGCGTACTGCGGCGGAGCCTACGAACTCGTAGCGTACGGCAGGGTACTTTAACGTGTCTCGTAGGATAGGGCATTGTATAGTACTGTAATGTACTGTTACTTACGTTGATGAACTGTAGCGCACTCAAACGTACTATAGCGTAATGTAGCGTAGTGCACTGTTTACTGAACGTACTGGAACGTACTCAATTGTTGAATTCCGAAGTTATCTATCCTATCTGAGCAATTTTGTAGTGTACGGTAGCGTAGCCCGGCGTACTGTACCGTTCTGTAGCGTAATGGGGTACTTTGGAGTACTGGCTACTTTAGAGTACTTTAGAGTATCGTAACTTGGCGTATTGTATAGCACCTTAGCGTAGTGTATCGTACCTTAGCGTACTAACATACTCTAGCTTAGTGTATACGTTAGGTATCTAGCTACCTTGTACTGTAGCTTATCGTAGCCCATTGTAGTATACTGTAGCGTACTTTAGCCTAATATTTGGCTACTGTATAACCTACAAGATTTCCGGTTGAGCTGTCGTGCTCGGCGTCGTTCCCTGGGTTCAGCTGATGTGAGACCGGTTGCTGCTCGGACCAGACCGTCCAATAGAGCATTCTCCAAATCATCCCCGCCATCCAGGGGTGAATTTGGATCTTTACGCATCGCTAAAAAATAAACTACAGTAACTAAAATCTAGAATTCCGTGGGATCCTAATTACACCGTCAAAATTCGCGATAAAACCTTACCCTCTCTCTGGCCAACGACATGCCGGGCAAAATCACGATCCGGAGCCGCGCGTACTCTTCTTAGGGTACCATTTCCGGTTGTGGCCGCATCGGCGAGGCTGGTCAGCATCTTTGAGAGCTCGTCTTGGCGCTGGAACAGGCAAAATTTGTTGGGATTCCAATGCAATGACTGCTAAGTGGTCTACAGTAATCCGAAAACACCCTGCCCTCCTCCCCACCCCAAACCCAAAAACTGACCTGTTCGACGCTCATATCACTTGGTGGCCTCCTTGATTTAACTACCGTACTTCCGCTTGCGGGCCCCTCAGCGCCAGCTCCATCAACCCAGATCTTTCCGCTATAATACGGAATTTACAGTTTAAAAATACACTACACAGCTTCCAGCATAGTCAATTACGCCATATAAATCTCTACCGTGTCTTATTCCTCTCCCGCTTCTCGGCCATCCGTTTCCGCTGCTGCAGGATCTTGTCCCGGGTGGTACGGTATTCTAGCGCGAATTCGGTGACCTAAAATGAAAAATGAACCTCTCAGCTCCGGTAACTGACCATCTTGAACACCTCGTTCTGCTTCATGTCGGGGATCTCTTGGACCGAGTAGCCGAAGTAGAATAGGAAGGCGTGCCATCTGGAGTTAGGGGTTGTCAGATGTTTTGAAGAGAGAGAGAGAGAGATAGAGAGAGAGAGAAAGAGAGAGAGAGAGAGAGACAGAGATAGATAGAGAGCGAGCGCGAGTGAGAGCGAGAGAGAGTGAAAGAGTGAGAGAGTGAGATAGAGAGAGATACTTACCTATTCTGCGACAACCTCCAGATAGCCTTCAGCTGATGAATCCTCTGTGCAACGTCGGTGAGGTAGTCGTTGATCTTCTGCTTCATGCTCGATTGGTCGTTCTTCGAGATCTTGGCCAAGTACTCCCAGGAGACCTTGCAATCGTGCTCCAGCTTCTTCAGACCTTCGAGGAGCTCCTTGTAGTCGACCTGAAAGCGGTAGATGAGCTTTGGATGTTGCTCTCTCTCTCTCTCTCTCTCTCTCTCTCTCTCTCTCTCTCTCTCTTCTCTCTCTATCTCACCCTAGCACTCCTCGCGACAGCTCCGAATTCTGAATACAAGTCGGTCCCCTCTGGGAAGTGCTCGATCATGTATTCAGCCAAATGCCATGTCAAAGGATGCTTGTAGACCGGATCCTTCACCTCCGACGCCTTCGCCAAGTAGTCCAGGTAGAAGCCCTTGATCTGAAACCACGGAATTCAGATCAGAAATATTCGAAGAGGCTAAATTCCAGGTGAAGGTTCCGAAAATCCAATTCCTTGTCGAAAAATATCTACGTCCCATTTTTTACATTTTTGCCGGATCGTGAATTTTTTAGATATTGTAGTTTATAGAGCCAAAAAAATCTGCATTTTATCCATTTATTAAAAAACTTTAAAACGAATGTTTACGCTATTTTTACTAAAAAGTATTCTAAACCGGCGAAAGTTTGGTTTCGGCTAATTTTTAAAGGGTTTTTTAATGAATTTTTGATGGTTACAAATACGTTGATTTGTAGAAGAAAAAATTCAATGTATTTTACATTGTTTTCTCAATTTTTAATGATATGGTTACGGTATCCAAAAGCCTAAAAACGCTGAAAATGCCTCACATCAGTCCCGTTCAACGTGTTCCCGATCTTCAACAGCATCCCCATGGCGACACTGAACGTCTTCGACTTCTCCATCTCGTCCATCGCCCTCTGCATGTCCATCAATGCCTCGGCCAGGTCTTTCTCTGCATTTTTGTAGTCGAGGGTGAAGATCCAGAGCTTCAGTCTCTCCAGAAGGCATGGGATTGAGGCGATTTTTAGCAGGAATTGTTCAGCATTTCCCAACGGCATATCCGGGTTTTCGGCCTGGAAGGAATGGCGTATTTAGTTGCCGTATTCCGGGGTTTTAAGAAATCTCTGCTAGCTTGCTCTTCCGGAATTCTATGCTCCTCAAGGATCTCTGCTGGCCTGCTCTTAATATTCCTCAAGAATCTCTGCTAGCTTCCTAAATGAAGCTGTGCTACTCAGCATCAAAATTCCTTAAAAATCACTGCTAGCCTACCCTCAAATTTCCTAAAAAACTCCAACTCCTTTAGATCTCTGCCAGTCATCCCTTGAAAATTCCTCAAAAATCTCTGCTAGCCTGCAGGCCTAATCCTTAAAGATCTCTGCTAGCTTGCCGACCACCTGCTTGTTCTCAATCTCCTCAATTTCCTTCGTGGAGGGCATCATTTCACGCAGGATTTTTTCGATCATTTCTTTGTTGAGAACGAGGGCGTCGAATTTCTAAAATGCATATGGGTTATGGATTTGCCTTCCTGGCTCCTTTAAAACGCTATAGAAACTTACCATAATGGCTGTTGGGATCACATTGACCGGTGGCAATTTTGTCAATCCGATGTTGATCGTCTGTGATCGCTTCAGGGAGAGCACTTGCAGGACTTGAGGCTTCACGTCACCGCTTGTCTTCTGAAGCGAGAGGTAGAGCAGAGAGAGAGCGAGAGAGAGAGAGAGAGAGAGAGAAAAAAGAGAAAACTCACCTTCACACCGCTATCCTTCGCCTTGGCCTCGAAAAGCTGCGCCAACTTGCTGGCGTCGATTGCCGGGAGATCCAGCTGTTTCCAGAAGGTACCCTGAAAACCGAGTCAAATCCTCAATGATTTCTGCAAAACCGCCGTCGCTTCCTCAATGACATCTGCTAGCTACCTCTCATTCCCAAGTCACTCTCTGCTCACTCTCACCTTATTCTTCAACGTCGGTACTGGCGGAGCTTCAGCTTGCGCAGCTTTCCAATGCAATCTCAACGTGTTGGTCTTGGGTAGGGGTGATGAGTCGCGGAATGCTCCAGCCAGTGGAGGGGGAGGTGGGACACCTCCTGCACCCGGTAGGGGAGGCGGAGGCGGGGCAAGGTGGGCGCCGTTTTGTACTGAAAATTGGTTAATAAGTTTCATCTACTATAGTTTAGTCCTGAAGAGATCTTTACGTCCTGCCGTTTCATTAATGCGCCTAGTTACGACCTTGAGAGTCCCTATAAAATATTAGATCACTTACACCGAGGTGGCAGTGGGATACTTCCGGGTGGAGGTGGGATGAAGCCGCCACCGGCTGCGATTTTCTCTTGTTGTATCGTTTGCCGGGCCATTACCTAAAAATCGATTTATGAGATAGGTTATGGTAGACACAGCTCAATTGGGTTGTATCTTCATTCCACATCATCCAAATATTAAGGTAGTTTTAAGTGTATCGATTAAACCGATAAATACCTACCAACGGGTCCTGCTCGTATTCGTCGGCGTGGAACTCGGAGAAGTCGAGGTCGTTGATGATCAACGGTTTGGACTTGAGGGATTCGGCAGCCTGGAAGAATTGAGAGGTAGAGAGCGAGAGAGAGAGAGACAGAGAGAGAGAGAAAGAGAAAGGAGAGAGAGAGAGAGAGAGAGAGAGAGAGAGAGAGAGAGAGAGAGAGGAGAGAGAGAGAGAGAGACCGAGATAGTGGGAGAGAGACAAAGAGAGCGAGAGAGAGCAACATACCCTATTCCACTGCATCTCCCCCTCATTCATCTTTGGCTCAAAAGCGGCCCGATTTCCTTCGGCTGCCTTGGCTGCTCTTTTTTGTAACAAAGCCGCAAAACAATTGGTGGTTCCGGAGTCAGAGCCATCGCCATCATCTTTCTCGATCTAAAAAAATGAGCATTAATGATAGGCATAATTCCCATTGATTTTAAGTAATTTTTTAATGGAAGATTAAATTGATAAAAATATTTTTGTTAAGAAAACCATGCTGAAGTTACACAAAATCAAATTAAAATTTAGAAATTAGAACTAGATTAATTTTACCAATTTGCATGACTTAAAAATTAAGAATTTAGCGTTACAAACAGATAATTTAATCGCCAAAATGATTCAATAAAAACCGAATTTAGAGCATGCAAATTAGTTCCCAGTTTTTGCTTGAAGTTAAATTTTTCTAATGCCAAAGTTTTTTATCATGAATTGAATGTAAAGCAAACTTTGTTAAATTACGGAAAAGTAAGTGGGGATTTGATCAATTAACTAAATAAAACTAAAGTAAACAAATAAAATAAATAAAAATCATTCAAATCCAACATCTCCACCTGTGCTCGAGGGGGCGGGCTGTGGATATCGCGCTGGTAGCCATTAATGCCGGAACTTCCGTAATTAGTTGCTGGCGTAGCCGTGGAGGTGGACGGCTCCGGGAAGTCCATATGTTTGCTCTCCGTCGGGGAGAACAACGTCGGGAAGGAGGGCGGCGGGGCTTTGACCTGGGAGGGCTACGGTAGGAGGGGCAGATTTTAGGGTGGAAATTGGAGGTATTTAGGTATGTTTAAAACTTATCGATAGTTGGGTGGCTAGAAGAGTGTTTTCAGGGTTTAAAAAATTCAGAGACAGCTTAGGCTTAGCTTAGGCTTAGGCTCATGCTTAGGCTTAGGAGACTGACCGGCTTCTCGTCTTCGGCCACCTCTTCCGGCACCTCGTTCTCCTGATTCTCGATGAGCTTGATCGGTTCGGGGATCTTGCGCTCCTTGGAAAGGTCGGGTGATGTGGAGATGATCGGGGCCGGCTAAAAAATAATGGATCGATGATTCTTTTGTTGCTTTAATGGCTATAAAGAGTTTGATAAGTAAGCTCTCAAAAATTTGAAAAACCGTTGTTTTAAGCGCCTTTTAGGGACTCGCTAGTACAAGCTCGTGCTCATCAGATGAATCAGGCAATTCTCTACAAAATTCCATTTTTCAAGAATTGAATGGATTACGGTCGCCGAGAAAAACTAAATAAAACGCGTTTTTGGCTATGATCCTCCTAAACATGGCGTCTAAAGTAATTTGTTGAAGTCCACACTATAATATAGTAATTCTACAGTAATTCCGGCCCCGGTAC